TTTAACATTAGCCCCCTTTTCCTTTTCTCTGTTTTTGGGATTCCAACATTTTAAAAAAATATGCTTTTAGTTTCTTTCATTTACTTATTTTTTTAATGATACTGGGGGTTAAACCCAGAACCTTGTACACGGTAAACATGCAATGTACCACTGAGCTACATCTCCAGATTTCATGTTCTTGAGTTGATAATAGGCCATTATTTCCTTATTGTTTTCACAATTTTAGTTAATTTTCTTTATTTTAAGTTTTGTATTTAACATGAGACTTAGAATAAATTAAAATTTCTACCTTTAAAAGTCACAAAAATATTTTTAATATTTTATTCTGGATTAAAAACAACTGCCAAATATATACTACTTACTTTCACTAGAAAAAAAATAATCCGTGTAGTTCATCTACCCTCACCAATTTTTACATAGGAAAGTGGTTTATTCACAATTGAAGCACGGGCTCAGTTTAATAATAAAAATGATGTCAACACAAACCTATCTAAGAGTAGGTGACTTAAGTATATTTCTGTACATTTGTGGAGTGGGATACTGTACAATTATACTGCCTTAACAAAGTTTTTTGATCTTTTACCAAATGATCAAAAATAGGTAGACAAATGTTTTCCAAATGCCATTCATAAGTAGTTTTTTTTTTCTTTGAGTTTTCCCAGTGTTCACAAAGTGTGTAATTTTATAAAATAGGAAAGTGAACTGAAGCAATTTTTCCAAAGAATGCAATAGATGGTACTAGAACTTAAAAGTTAAGATTCTGGTTCTCTGGAGCAAGACTGTTATTCTCAGAATAATAAATATACTAAAAGTCTGGTTTTTGAAACTTACATTGGAGTTTGATCTGTTTATATGTTTAATGGTATTCTATTCTACTTCTTAATTTTAAATAATTGTTGTTATATTTTGCATCATCCAAATGGTTAGCAATTCTAGGCTTGTCATTCTACAATAGTTACACACATTTCTTTAAACTAGCTCTCATTTGTTTGTTTAGAGCCAAATGGAGAAGCATATATTTAATGAGCGAACAGGTCCAAGCCACCAAATGGCAAGTGGGAACAAACAGAAGCTGAATTTTTCCAGATCTGACAGGAAAGAATTCCATTTCCCTGAATTGCCTTTCACAATACAGTCAAAGGAGATGCAAGGAATGGAAGGTACACATTTGCTGCATAGCTGCATAAGTCTTCGGATGATAACATGTACAGGACTTTTTTTTTTTGTAATACAGGTTATAGCATGATTTGAAAATAGTAAATTATTGAGAAAAACATTTTCCATTGTTGAGATTTCAAATAAAAGATGATACAAATGAGATAATGTAAAAACCCATTACATCCCAAGTTTTCAATTCTATATAGTACAATAGGACACAATGGGTTAAAGAGGTGTTAAGACAGCTTAAAAAGGTAAATTTTTAATTCATTCAATGTTGAAATGTTAGGACAGCATGCAAAGAAGGTGGTTTTGGTTCAGTAAATGACCTGGAATAAATCACCTTTCTATAATTATTTGACCAGGAATGTTATATGTGCTTTAGGCACCCAAGGATTTCATAGATTGATTTATAAATTTAAGATTTATCTTAAAATGAAACTTTTTTTGCCAAGTTATGTTTTTTGAAGAATAGTGACACCTTGTGAAAATGTGATATAATAGCAAGACTGTAGTACTTGTACACTTTTGAGGAATTATCTGATCTGCTTAGTAATACTTAGGATAAAAATATATTCCTTTAATACTAAACTCTGAATTATAAAACAGTTTACCGTATTTTATTATTGTAACTCATGATTCATTTATTTCCTTTGTAATAAACTAAGAAACCAACTGTAGTGGACTTCAGAATTTCCATTTGAAATTCTTGAAAAGGAGAGTAAAATTTCCAAGTAGGAATAACGAATTTTCATTGTTTTATATATTTTTGCAAAAGTTAAACAGATAAAAGTGCTGAAAATGGAGTCAAGGAAAATAGATTCATCTAAAATACCAGCTTTATTTAATATGGGTCAAAACCAAGAAAAACAAGAGGTAAAACTTTTTTGCTTATAGCTTTTACTAAGCAATGTTATTTAAAGTCCTTGATTCTTTATACATTCAGTTGTTACTAATGGAAAGCTATATAAAAATTCAGAATTCTGTAATCTTCAAACTCTGGAAAGAGAACTATCTCTTTCTAGAATAACCAATCATAAATGTTTCTAAAAGTTATTTTGGGGGGTATTAATTAACAGCCCTCATTTTTTATGTTTGGTTTGTTTTTGAGATGGAGCCTTGCTATATTGCCCAGGCTAGTCTGGAACCCTTGGGCTCAAGTAATCTTCCCATATCAGCCTCCCCAGTATTAATGGTATTAATATGGGAGTATTAATGGTATTCTATTCTACTTTTAAAAAATATGCCTGGCATATCAGCTCTCATTTGAATTTTGAATGACAAGAATACACAGTACTTAGGGAAAATAGCAACTGTGTTGTCAAACATCAAGCAATTAATCCATACCAATGAAAATGACAGTTCAGATATAAACATCTGGTTACATGGGCCACCAGCATATATATTCAATTTAGCTTCTTTTTGTTTTCTCTCCAATTTATTCCCCATCTCTGCTATTTACCCACATGTCCAATTTTCACAAATATTTGCTCTCAACTAGCTATCAGGTAATTTCTTAAAATATCCCCTACCCCTATTCACCAGAAAGATTTTTGAATTTTATTTGGAAATTCTGAAGTTTTCAACTCCAAATGAATATCCTTTAAAGGTACTCTTTTAAGAAAAAAGAGCCTGTGCTGAGAACCCAGTGAGTTAAATAATGTAGGTGGCCTCCTAGCTGCCCTTTTGAGGTCAAATCTGTAAATGATTTGTCAACTTTATTATCTCTATTTTTAAAAAAAAAAAATGGCTACATTTATTTATTTATTCATGATAAAATTTTACTTACTTATTAAGGAAATTTGAAGAAATTAAAAATACAGAAAATTTTATCTGAAACTGTAAGAAGGCATTTTAACTAAAGCTACTCATAATTTGGAGAACAATATTATTAGACACTATTAGATGTATGCTCCCTGTGGCAATTAGGGCTATGCCTTAGTCTTGACCTCGAACTTGTTAAGAATTCCACAATCCACTTTGCAGAAAAGAGATAATAAAACAAGAAAGCCACTAATGGTCATCTGCTTGTTCATTATAAAAGTAACAAGGTGGCTTTAAACTTATACTTTTGGTGACTTACTAATGTTACAGCTTGTTGCACAGCACACCATTTACACGTATTTTGAATGACTGGGTGAATTAGAGCTCTTGAACTTGTGTAGACTAGTAAGCATTACAGATTTTTATCTTACTGTTCCATGAAAGGCCCCAGGAACAAAACCATTCTAATGCTAGAACAAAAGAAATTCTTAAGGCAGTTCTGTCAATTTTAGGATAGTAAATAAACAGGAAACTGGAAGGAAAGCCCTTTCTTCCTCACATGATGTAGAGCTCCTGAAAAGATGACTTTTTTGGGAGTGAAGTACCAGGGATTAAACTCAGGGGCACTCCACCACTGAGCCACATCCCAGTCCTATTTTGTGTTTTTATTTATTTGGATACAGGGTCTCACTGAGTTGTTTAGCATCTCACTAAATTGCTGAGGCTAGCTTTGAACTCGTGATCCTCCTGTCTCAGCCAAACCAGCCACTGGGATTACAGGTGTGGGCCACAGCACCTGGCTACTTATTCTCTTGAAAACATATTATGCTATTTTGTTCTCCAGAAAATCATGTCATTGTTTTGTGGTGCTGACGATCAAACCCAGGGCCTTATACATACCAGACAAAGGCTAGACCACTGAGCTACCCATTTCCAAACCTTGACATTGCTTCCCACCCCACTTTAGGAAAGGAGCCTGTTTAGATTTATCTTTATCTTTATCTTGGTACTTACTATTAAAATTCCATTTTGCTGGATGTGTTGGTACGCTTCTGTAATTCCAGCTACTGAGGAGGCTGAGGCAGGAGGATTACAATTCTGAGTCACTGGGATCACAGATGGGTGTGCTCCACTACACCCAGCTAAAATGATCTTCTAAAAAGAGTGACCTTAAAACAAGATATTATTAGAAATAACCAGAAGTCAGTTGTTTATAGTTTATTTGTACTGTCTATTCAAAAGAAGTTCTGACAGGTGACTGAAATGGCATATAAGGTGTTAGACCACGATGCAAGAAAAGACCACTGACTCCAATTAAAATCAAATTAAAACAAGCTTATTATTTCGACCGGCCGGGCTGCCTTTCCCATCAAAATCATGGGAGCCAATGATAGCCAAGAAGCTTCCTTGCAGCCCAGTTTTATAACGCAAAAAGTTACACAAAGGGGGGTTACAGAAAACAAAACTCTGAGGAGCATAACATAAGTTTACATTTTTGCTGGCCACAACATCAGAATTTATGGAGGTCTTAGAGACTCAGAGAGGGTCGTTATCTGGCCAGGGAAGGCCAGAATTTTTGAGGCATCACTAAGATTTAGGAAAGGGTTGTTATCTGGTCAGGGAAAACTGGGCATGGGTGAGTTCAGGGCACGGGCAGGCGTTTCAATCAGCTTTACAACATCAACTAATGGCCAGGCTGTACAGACATCCTAATATTTTTACAGAAAACAGAAATGAATCCTTCATAACTTGTGATCTAAAGAGAGAACTAGGCTAGGTATATCATAAGGCTAGTTCAAACACTTTTAATAAATTAATATACAAATTAAGAAAATTTCTAACCTGGGCACAGTGACACACACCTGTAATCTCAGCGACTGGGGAGGCTGACATAGGAGGATCTTGAGTTCAAAGCCAGCCTTAGCAACAACCACAAGGTGCTAAGCAACTCAGTGAGACCCTGTCTCTAAAGAAAATTAAAAAAAAATAGGTCTGGGTATGTGGCTCAGTGGTTGAGTGCCCCTGGGTTCAATCCTCAGTACCAAAAAAAAAAAAAAAGAGAGAGAGAAAATTTCTTCATTTGCTTCGGCAGCACATATACTATATAATTGGAACTGTACAATGAAGATTAGCATGGCCCCTGCGCAAGGATGACAGCAAATTCATGAAGTGTTCCATTTAAAAAAAAAAAAAAGATATTTTGAGTCTGTAGTTTTAGAGTATACGAGAATATGATATGATACATTTTTAACAACATAAGATAGGAGGCTGTGAGTGTAGCACTTGCCTAGCATGCCCTGGATTAGATCCTCAGCAAGGCCAAATAAACAACAATATACAAAACAAAACCCATAAAAACAGGAATAGCAAATCAGATCCAAGCATTTCCTAAATGTACATTAAATTGTTTCTGGCATATTGAAATAGGCATGCATCCCTTGAAGAGGCTCTACAACTAGGGAGAAACCCTAAATTACTGTGAATGAGTAACTTGGGCAAGACCGATGAGTCCATACAAAGGCCACCTTTAGTTCTGTTTGATGGTGATAATGAGGAATACTTTGTTAGAAACAAACCCCAGATGCAAAATACAGTATTCTATCTCTGCTTGCATTTTCTTAGCCAAAGACTCACTGTTTCCTCAGTTAAGGTCCTGTTTCTGTTTACTTTTAGAATACAGGAAATGCACAGACTGAAAGGAAGAAGAACCTGCCAGATGTAGAGTAGAAAATGCAGCAGCTGAAAATTCAAGGAATATCAGAATTACAATATGGTTTAAAGAGAATGCTTTTTATTAATGTTACATACACAAAAGTGTTGACCAGAGGATCATACAGATTAATGAAAAATCCTATATAGTTATGTGTATATTCACCTAAATTTGAAATTTATAAAATTTGAATTACTTGTTGTCTTAACTTGAACATTAATTTATAAAAAATTGCCTGAACTGTATATTCTAATAAAATTGCAGTTTACATTAAGTCAAATAATTTTATTTGAACATCTGTTATTTCAGGCATGTTTGATTAGTGGTCAATCTCAGCTTTGGCTCAGAGTTTTATAATTACAGAAGGGAGTTTCTAAATACGTCATAAAGTGAGATCCCAATGTCTGAGAGCACCAAACATTTGTGGGCAAACAAGTATACTTGATAAACATGAAACATGGGTTTGGTTCCACACTGAAACAGCATTTACCCCACAGATTGAGAAATTGTTTAAAAAGATGGAAACTAGATAAAGCAAGGAAGCAATTCTTTTGGCCTGACCAGCGTATTTATAATTTAGATCTTTACACATAATATAACGTTAACACAGTCAAGGTTTTAGCAGCATATATTTACATTCTTATCTTTGATTCTTACTAGCTTGGTTTCTAATTTTAGGGTGGAGATGGCCATTGTGAGGGGAAGAATTTGAAGAGGAACAGATTTTTTTTCTGGTAGTGTCTTTTAAATAATGGTAAAAATACAAACTGACAACTTCCTTTTTAATGTTATATACAATAGAAATGTACCTTGAGCTGTTGCTAAGACAGCCATCCATCCATCTGCATTAGCCTCATCCAATTGTTTTTGTTTTGTTAGGAAAATATTCACTGTTTTCTTCTTTCTTCTAAGAACTCTGTTGTTGTGATGCTTTGATTTGTAATTATAAAGTCATCTTCTCTCTGCCTGTTTTTTACTTGCCATGATTACTGAGTGGGTAACATTCCCTGTTACATGACACACATTATTTATACTGATCTCTACCCTCTTGAGAATCACAGAACTTCAAAAGTCAATTATCTCCTAGAACTCTCCAGTTTCCTGAAAACAAATTCTTAATGAAATAGCTAATCCATTATTTTATTTTATTTTTAGTATTACAATTGAGCTCTAGCCCTTTTTATTTTTTATTTTGAGACAAGTTCTCACTAAATTGCTTAGGGCCTCATTGAATTGATGAGGTTGACCTTGAACTTGTGTTCCTCTTGCCTCAGACTCCCATTATTTTAAAAGCTAATCATTACCATTACATGATGAAATATGTCTTCTATTGGTCAGCAATAAAAATATAATACTTATAAAATATCTAAAGATAATATGAGTTTGAGATTTAATTCTTTTATCATTTTAAATAATTGGCTACACTCTTCCAGTTTCCTAGTTCCATGTAATAGTACTTTTATGTGGTAAGGACTTTTTCTATTTCATAAAATAAACTGTGCACAACCCAGAGATGGTATACTATCTGACTTTTCTATTGCTGTAACCAAACAACACAGATTGGATAGTTCATTTAAAAGGGTGGGGGGGGGTTGGACCCTAAGAAGCCTAAGAGCATGGTGCTGGCATCTGTAAGGCAGCCGATGAGGGAGGGCCTTCTTACTGTATTATAAACATGGCAGAGGTCATTACATGGTGAGACAGGGCAAATATGCTAGTTTAGTCACTCTTACTTTTCTTATAAAGTCATTAATGTCATCATAGGGGACCCACTTGTATGACCTCATCTAATCCTAATTTCCTTTAAAGGCTCCAATTTCCAAATCTTTGAACATATAAATTTGGGGATTGAGTTTCCAATATCTGAACTGTGTGTGTCTGTATATTTGTGTGTGTGTGTGTGGTGCTGGGGACTGAACATGGGATGTTGAACACACTAGAAAAGCACTATACCAAGAGCTACATTCCCAACCCTTCAACACATGAACTTTTGAGGGATATATTTGAACTTTGGCGCTACCAAAATTCTGGATTTTTCTACTCTTCAAGAAAAGTTAATACAATTGTCCTACTTGATGTTTTACCAGGATTCTACCGGATTCTGTATTTACTGAATCAACATGGAAATAAAGGAAAACATAATTTTATTATGTTATTTTTGAAATTTTTATTTCATTTCATTTTTGCGGGACTGGGGATACCCAGGGCCTTGCACATGCTGGGCAAGTGCTCTGCCAGTGATTTTCTTCTCCATTCCTTTATTTTATTTATTTTTAAATCAATCATTTTCACTTTCATTTATTATAATTTATCCTTTTCATTTATTATAATGGGTTTCATTTATTACAATTTATGCTTATTTGCTAGAGGTTTGATCATCCTATTTTGGCATCATCAATAATTTTTTTTATTTGTTCTAATTAATATACATGACCGTAGGATGCATTTTGACATATTATACATCAATGGAGTATAACTTCTCATTATTCTGGTTGTACATGATATAGAACCACACTGGTTGTATAATTGTATATGTACATGGGTACCTCTATTTTTTTTAATTTTATTTTTTAATTTGTTCTAATGAGTTATACATGACAATAAAATGCATTTTGACACATTGTGCACAAATGGAACATAACTTCTCCTTCCTTGGCTGAACATGATGTAGACTTACTTTTATTTTGCTGACTTCTGAAAGTGGAGGCTGAGGTCATTCTATTTTCTAATATAAGCAACTAAAACTTTAAATTTCTTCTCCTACATCCCACAAACCCTAAAACTATGAGTCAAAATAAACCTTTCCTTTTTTAAGTTGATTATCTCAGGTATTATATCAGTGATGCAAAACTAGTACTGAAAAAAACAAAACACACACACACAAAATAAACAAAATTGCAACTAAGTTGAGTTAGTGATAGCACCTTTAGGTCTGATATGTTTACTGATATGGGGGGTAGTGGGGATTGAACTTAGGGGCACTCAACTACTGAGCCACATCCCCAATAAAATATTTTTATTTTTTAGTTGTAGGTCGACACAATATCTTTATTTTATTTTTATGTGGTGCTGAGGATTGAACCCAGTGCCTCATGTATGCCAGGAAGGTGCTCTACCACTAAGACCCAGCCCCAACCCCCCAACCCTTTTTAAAATATTTTATTTAGAGATAGAGTCTTGCTAAGTTGCTTAGGACCTTGCTAAATTGCTGCGCTGGCTTTGAATTTGTGATCCTCCTGCCTCAGCTTTCCAAGCTGCTGGGATTACAGGCATGCACAACTGCTTATTTACTGATCTTTAGTCTACTTGTTTTATAAATTACTGAGGGAGGCATATTGAAATCTTCAACTATAATCCTGGATCTATCTGTTTCTCCTTTCATCTGTATCAATAGTTTCTTTATGTATTTTGAAATTCTGTTATTAGGTACATATATATTTAGGACTATTATATTTCTAATGAAACTGACCCTTATCTGCTATATACTGCCTGAAAACAGTTTTATATTTGTTTGAGATTAAGACAAAAATACTATTACTCCATTATTGCTGGAACTAGAAGTTCAGTTAGAAAGTACTTATAGGGTATTTAGTGACTGTTTTGAGTAATGGAAATCTGTTGAATAATACACTGACATTTATCTTAAGAATTAAAAAAAATCCCCAGAGTAATTAGTAAAAGTTATAGTTCTGTTTTATATAAATTGTCCTTGATTGAACAATGTTTTAATTTATGACCATACCTAAGGGTATGGATATGGAACAGGAATGTGTCCCCTTGTTATAAATATTTAATTAATAATGTATTTTTGTGATGCTAGGTGTTGAACCTAGGGTCTTGTGCATGGTAGGCAAGTGAACTTCCACTGCACTGTACCTTCCAGCTTCCTGTTATTATAAAGGTAGGGTCTTATTCATACTTTATTTTTTATCCTTATTCTAGTTATTATAATTATCATATACAATAAAAAAATTGGTGATTACATGTTGACTTCTTGCCAGTAGTAAAAGGAAATTTCATCAGTGATTGTTGTTGGTAGGATAGATTTTATTGGCTAATAACATTTGTCAAAATGTATTATTAGGTAAATGTATTTGAGTTCTTTTTCTGGTCTATTTTCACATGTGACTTCATGTTATTTGTTATAATGTGCTTTTTTAAAAAGCAAGTGGTTGAAGTAATGAGTTGCTTACGTCAAAAATGAAAATGACCTATATTGGCTAGAACATGATAACATTAGGATAAGCCAGGAGTCATTGAAAGAAGATATTGTGTTTTTTCATTTGTATTTCATTCTTGCAGCCTTTTTATCAACCGTTCTCAATAAATTTTATTTCCAGGATCTGAGTAAAAATAGTGTAAGGCCATGGTTGTGACAGAGTGATAAAATCAACATTTTCTTTAAATTCAGGGGTTAAGGAAATCATACCTCTTAAAGCACATATATTGTTTTGTATATCTAGGAACCAAATTA